TACCAATATTTTTGGTGCGTTTTCTAATGTGTTGCACTGAATAGTATTCAATTTATTCAGATTGGGTTTATTCATTCCAGAATTTTGGGCTGATTTTTTATTCCAACATACTGGAGCAATGTGCCCTTTCTTATTGCAAATATAACATTGAGCATTTTTAAATTTGCATAACTTCGTATCGTGGTTAGACTTTCCACAAATTTTGCAAGAATTATTGTATTTACATGGGAATTTAAAATTATTAGATCTGGCTTTCAACTTATCAATATCATGACCAGGATTTTTCATCAAATTTACTTGTGACTTCGCTGCCTCTACAGAATTTGCAATATTTATTGCACTATCAAACGTTAAAAAAGGTTCACTTAGCAGCCTTTTAAGCGTAGCTTCATCGTAGCAACCACTTACAAATTGGTCACACAAATTTTCATTTATGTCAGTAAATTTGCACTTGTCTGCCTGAGATTTAAGCCTCAAAACAAATTTTCCCACAGGCTCATTTTCTTTTTGTACAATCTTGTGAAATAAATATCTTTCATAGTGCTTATTTTTTATTGGATATAAATGGTTGGTTAAAACCTCTACTAAATCTTTATATTTAAGGTCACTTGGCCTACTGGGTACCAACAAATTGCGCAAAGTCTTATAAACATTAACATCAATAGACGTTAATAACACAGATACTTTGTCTGCTTCTAATGTTTTGTTCAATTTAAAACATTCTTCTAATTGTTCCAAATAACAATTTAGATCTTCACCTTCACGAAACCTTGGATAATTTGAATTAGTGGTGGCCATACTTACATTAATTCTTCATCGCCATTTGATACGTTTCTATTAAATGTTGAATATTAATGGTGAAATTTATTTTATAAGAAATTGCACTTTATATATATTTAAAGATAAATGAAAGATACACCATTTTTATGCTACCATAATTATTTTATTCTTTTTACAATTCTTACACACGTGCTCATTATATGTCGAACATTTTGTTGTCTACAAGATGATGATAAAAACAAGATGATCAAAACAGAGTAAAGTAATAATATATCACTGATATATTATCTTTAAACAAAACAGATCATTAAATTTTTAAATCATTAAACAGATCATTAATTCATAATTAAAATTTTACACATATAAATTTACTGGCAATGCGCTTCTTTTATATATCATCAAATATTATCTCTACAGACCTTACTGCAATGATATGAGTTATTGAATGAGAGGGCTTGGCTCATCAGTAGTGAACCCTCTCAGCGGTTTCGCCAAATTAATCTCTAGACCGCTCTACTATTATAATGTAATTTATAATATAAATAATATTCATCATCTGTTTATCAGATAAATATATTCTTCTTATCTGTTAACTTGTTTACACACTTGATAACAGGAACTATTTAAAAACATGCTGTAGTAAAATTTTCTCATTCAATACTTTTGTCTGAAGATGGTAACAACGCTGTTACCGAAACATCACACACTATTTATTTATTTGGATTTGGTCTTATTACCTTGTGTTTATAATCTATAATACAAATTGTGCCTTATCAATATCATAGAGACAAAACACAAGGTAATAAGACTTATGTTGCA